CTACGACTACTAATACTACTTCGGCTACGACTACGACTACTACTACTACTACTACTACTACTACTACTACTACTATTACTACTATTACTACTCTACTACTAGTACTACTACTATTACTACTACTACTTATACTACTACTACTAACTACTTACTACTACTACTACTACTACTACTACTACTACTACTACTACGACTACTACTACGACTACTACTACTACTACTACTACTACCTACCACCACTACTACTACTACTACTACTACTACTACTACTACTACTACTACTTCTGCCTCGGGAGGGTTCTCACGGAAATTCTTAGCTCAAACAGAAACGAATCTCGGAAAGTCTATCCTGAGAAGCTTCATCCTCGGAAGATTTGTTGAAGCTCATGCCCCACGACCAGGCTTTGGGACGAGGCTTTAGGACCAGTCCTAGTCACCGCGGGGAGAAGAAGGTGGGAGCAAAATCTAAGGCCCTTAGCGGTTCATTACGCGAAACGTGAAGGACCCGCGTCCCTCAAGACCTTTTCGCTCCATGGGTTTTCGTCTGGACTACGTGTCGCTCAAGACGCGTCTGCTCTGGCTTTCGTGCCATCGCTGGCGGCGCGCACAGGGGGTCAGGGGGAGGGGGAAAGGCTTCTTGGAAGGAGGCTGCTCATTAGAGGGCGCGGGCCTCACATCTCTAGATACGGCCCGCGCCTTCAAAAAAAACATGGGTGTTTCTGGTGGGCTTGTTTTCCACCGCCACCACCATCAGTAGGAGGGGGAGGGGGTCCTCCTCCCCCTCCTCATCCTCCTCCTCCTCCTCCTCCTGCTCCTCCTCCTCCTTTTAGTCCTCCTCCTCATCCTCCACCTCCTTCCCCCCTCCAACTTATGGTGGTGGTGGTGGAACACACGCTCATCAGCTCCTGAGAAGCCTTCCCCCCTCCTCCTGCCCCCCCTGCGCGTGGCCGACATCGCCCGGGCCTCCAGCGGCCGGTGGCCGCTCGCGGGACGACTCGGGTACCACCGGAAAAACGCTCTGAGCGAGGCGCCACTGCAACGCCTCGCGAGGATGGCAGACCTGCGCGCAGAAGCGTCAGGACACTTCGGACCTCGACGTGGTAGAACTCGATCGGTCCTCCCCCCCTCCTCTGACTCGCAGCGAGCCTGGCGGCTGAGCTGCATGGTCACCTCCTCCCCGCCCGATATACCGGGCCCCAGACATCGACGAGACTGGGATTGGGGACAATCAGATCCTCGGATAGATGGGTTTGTTTCATGGCGGCTTGACTTTTCTTCTTGCGCAGGCTGCAGGGGCGCCACACTGGCGCCTGAAGCGTCAGGCACCTGCGGGTCTCCGCGGGAAGGCAAGGAACGCAGTGCAACAACACAGGCCACCAGGAAGTACAGGAAGCACAAGATAACATGGCATGATGGGGATGAAGGCGGCTTGACCCTCCTCCCCCTTCCCTGTGGGGGGGCGGGGGCCGCGGCTGGGCCTCTTTCTTGCCCTCCACCTGCTGCTGCGTCGCCTGCAAGTCCTCTCGGAGGGAGGTCACCTGCGCGGCCCCATCGGCAGCCCCCGCGGCCGCGACCGCCGCCGCCCCGCCGCCGCCGCCGCCACGTCGTCGTCGTCGTCGTCGTCGTCGTCGTCGTCGTCGTCGTCGTCGTCGTCGTCGTCGTCGACGTCCTCGTCCTCGTCCTCGTCCTCGTCCTCGCCCTCGTCGTCGTCATAAACGTAAAACGTCGACGTCGGAGGGGGAGGGTAAAGTCACCGTGCCAACACAAGAAACGCTGCATGAGGAGCGAGAGGCCACGGAGAGGCTCTCCGGCCTGTGCCAAGGAACGCCCCGAGAACCAGAGCCAGTTCCGAAGCCAGCGCGGCCCCGATTTCGGCGGCTCGACTGTACGCGGTCCGAGGGGGGGGGGTAGAGTTCAGTTGGGCCTGTCCTCCTGCAGGCACTCTGGACGAAAACCAAGAGTAGCCGAACAGACACACAAAGATCTTGCAAAGTAGTCAAAGGGTAGTCCCCAGAAAATTGTTGGACCAGTTTTGAGCATCCCCCGTGTAGGAGGGACAGGCCCGAATTGGGGGTGGAGGGCAGCAGGGCCGCCCGCAGAATGGGGCACCTCGGCGGGCGGAGCCGCTTGCGCCAGCGCACCCGCAAGGGAGGAGCCGAGCGGGGCAGCGCTGCTCTCCGTGGGCGGGCGGAGCTGTTTCGCAACCGCGAGCTGTCGGGGTCGGCGTGAGTCTCCATCCCCCTGCATGGGGGGCGCAGGAGCACCACTATGAAAGGGCCCTGGGACACACACGCAAACAAATACGCACACATAGCAACGGTTCCCCCCCTTGATTTTCCTACATCTTCTGGGCTTTTTTGTCTTCCCCCCCACTTCCCACATCTTCCCATCCTCTCCTGGGAGTGGACGATTTTAACTGTGTCTGCGTGTGTTCTTGTCCCTCCTGACACCAGCAGCACAGGCACAGGAGCTCGCTCGGGAGCTGCCGAGCGAAGGGACCCCCACGCTCCCCGTCAGACATCGTGGGGGGGAGGGGGAGGGTTCGCATGTGGCCCCCTAGCAGGAGCACCGCCAGCAGCACAGGCACACGACCTCTCGGAGGCCCGCGGGGGCCCCCCCGCTCGCCGCGGGGACACGGCGCCGAGCCGGAGGCCTCCGCGCGGGCCTCTCCGAGAGGCTCCCGCGCAGTCGTGCCGCGGTGCAGCGCCCCACCTCCCCTCCGCGGGAGGAGCGTCCAAGGAGCTCCCTCCACCAGCTTCAAGTCGGACCTGTCCTCCTACAGGGGGACTCTGGACGAAACAGATGCTTAACAATACCCCCAAATGATATATACATATATATGCATGTATATATATATATATATATATATACATATATATGTATATATATATACATACATACATATCTATATGTATATGTATATGTATATGTATATATATATATATATATATATATCCTCCACCACCTATTTTTGGACTATGTTCGAATACAGTGCGTGCGCGGCCGCAAGAAACCCTCGCAAGAAACCCAGCCCTGAAAACTCGCGCGCGGGGTGCACCCGAGGGGGAGCCCGGAGCACCCTGAACGCAGCAGCCCATTCAACGGCTGCGGGAAGTCACCGCGCAGCACATGGTTCCTTGCTGCGCGCCCCCACTGTACTCCTCCTGCAGAGGCACAGGCCCGACTTGACACCAGCCCCCGGCTGCAGAAGCACTGCCGAGCCCGCAGGCCTCCGGCGGCCCCCTGCTGGGGGGAGGGGGAGGGCGAAGGCCTCCCGAGCGGGGCCCGAGAAGACGGGGTCGGAGACCCCGAACGTGTTGAACAGATCAGGACGGAAGTGCTTCTCGATGTTCGGCCTCTGGCCTCTGGCGGCCCTCGCCCGGCCCCGGGGCCGTCAAAACAGCGACTCAGGATGAAAAGCCGGTCCTGGGGGATGGGTCGAGACTTCTGGGGGCCCCGCATGGAAAAAACACCAACATCGGATCTCTGGGGTCAGAGGATCGCGCGGCATCGCCGATGCGTCGCCGATGCGTCGGCGACGCATCGGCGCCGCCGGCTGGGAGCCGATCGGGCTCCACGTCGAGCCGCGTCGCCGATGTACGGGCGGTGCGGCGCGACCTCCGACCCCGCCTGCTCGGACCTCGCCGGAGGAAAAGGAGGAGGCAGGTAGGAGGAAGGGAGGAGGAAGGGAGGAGGAGGAGGAGGAGGAGGAGGAGGAGGAGGAGGAGGAGGAGGAGGGAGGCCTGGGTAGGGGATTCTCCTGAGGCCTGCGAGGCTCGCGGGAGGCATGCAGGGCGCGCAGCTCCAGGCGGGCCTCTGGCGGGTCTCTGGGCCACCTGGACCACCGGCGCACAACCAGCGCACACCCAGGATAGAACCGGCGATCTCCAGCGTGCTAGGCCGACGACAAAGCCACAACCCGGAGATCCTCCGCTGCGAGAAGCTCCAGACATCGGGGAAAACCACGACCAGAGCCCAAGACATACGTAATCCTGCTGCTATCGCGCCGGGTCGAGCTGTAATGGCATCGGAGCCCGAACGAAGAGACGCAAACTCGCCAGTTGTGAAAACTGCCACGCCGGGCTCTCAGGGTGGGCCGTGGCCTGGAGCGAGTGCAGAATCTGCATCGCCTGGCGCCACGCGGGAGGCCGCTGCGTTCACGCGCGCCCCCCTTTGCGACACCTGCGCGGCCTCTCCAGGGCGGGGCGGGGGCAGGTGCCCGCACGCGGCCGGCCTCGAGGCGCGCATCCAACGGAGGCTGCCGAGCTAGGCCCGAGGTGAACGAACGCGCGCGAGTCCGCCTGTGGGGGCTCGCCACCGGCTCCCTTCGCTCGGACCCGTCGTGAGCCTCAGCATCCCTGAGGGCCGGGTGTTCTAATCTGTTCACACCCGGCGTGCTCGCCCGGCAACGTGGCGCTGAAAGATGGGGTCTTGGGCTCGCGAGGGCGCATGTTTTCGCGGCGTCAGATCTCACGGAAGGCCCCACGGTGCACCACTACCACCCACACATCCGACGATGTGCTTTTTCCCCGCCGAGGCCGACATCGAGAAAAACGCCCAGACTCTAAGAGTCATAGCGCTGGAGATTTTCGGTTATGGTAAAAAAGGGTGTCTTTCGTAATGGCGTCGCAGCAAGCATGCAATAGTTCATCCTATGGCTCATTGCGCGTGGCCTGTCTCACGGACCAACTATGCCAAATGCATAGGTTTCTGCCAGCACCCAGCACGATCCAACACGAACGATTGCATGAACTATTGCGTACATGTCTGAGACCTCCTTGGGATTTGGGATCCGTTAGCCCGAATCTGAGATTTGGGATTACCCGCCTCATCAAGTATATGCATCTGCCTCACTGCACCTGGAGGTCCCCGCAGGCCTCCAGCAAGAGCCTCGATCCTCGAACTTCCCCCCGGATGAGGAACTCCTTCCCCTACCTCCTCCTCCCTGGCGCGTCCGGTCCCATTCGATTTCGACTCCGTGCTGATGCGGCCCGGACCGACGCACATTCCGAATAGATCAGTTGTCCCGACTGGATATTGCCTCCCTTTACTTCCGATGGACACTGTGTTTTTTCATCCGCGCTGCCGCTGGGCCCCTTCGCGATGGTAGAAAGCGTGTTTCAATCCGCGCGCCGACTACACCCCCGCGGGCCCGTTTGGTTGCTTCCCTTTGTTGCCCTGGGGCCCGGAGAGCTCCTGGCGGCCCAAGTGGAGGGAAAACCCTGGGCGGGAACAGCAAACGTTGGCACCCTTATGGCAGACGACCCTGGACAACTCTACACTGGTCACGACTGGGGGCCACGACGGGCCACCGCCTTTGCGGGCCTGGGCTCCCTCACCCGGCGTAGCCGGGCGTTGGAACAAGTACGCCGAACCCTTCCACTAGGAGCTCGACCACAAGAAACCTTCCACAAGAAGCCCAACCCTAAGATCCCAGGACGTCCATTGGTTTTTGGTGTGGGAGCGTCAAGCTTTCCATCGCAAAACCATCCAAGCCCAAGAAACCCAGGGCACCCTGGAGGCCAGCAGGGTGCTCCTTGGCACGGGTTTCCACTGCGCAGACAAGCTGTTTAAGGAACCAATCTGACCGATGTGTGGGCACTCCTCCGCCCCCCTTGAGGGGAAACGTTAGGAGGGGACCAGCTCAGGGGGGGGACACCGAGCTGGGATCGGCAGTACATCGCCGATGGGCCCCCGACAGCGACTCCGCACGCTCCTAGGCTGGGTGGGCTATCAGGCCCCCTGTCGGCGGTCCATGGGCGATTGGGGGCCGAGGCATCCCCTCCTGAGCCTGTACCCCCGCAACCTTGCCTCTGATCTGGCTCATCGGTTCTTTCGGGCCAGAGCTCGGGTCTCCGGTGACCGTTCGGGGAGATCCTGGCACGCCCGGGAGCGCCCTCGGCGTGGCGCAGCCTGCTGGAAAACGTCCCGAGACTGGAGAACCCGCTCGGACCGACAAGAACGCCCGAAGACCTTCCTCCTCTCCGAGGGTATCGAAAAGGGCGATACCGTACCACGCCCCGAGACCTCTTCCAAGATGCATTCTGCCCAGAATTTCGAGGCGACGGTATCGGTATGGTTGCCTCCGCTGAACTCCCTCCTCCCCCGCCTTGAGCTGAGCCTCGCGCGTGACCGCCAGCCCCAGAACGCTCTCGGCGAGTCGCAGGTGCTGAAACGCGGCTGGAAAACCTGCTGAAACACAAGACAACACCCGACACCACCAGCAGGCGCCCAAGAGACTCCCACGAGGCCCGAGGAGGCCCCCGAGAGGCCCAAAAGAGGCCCCCAGAGGGCCCCCAAGAGGCCCCCAACGGCCTCGCCTGTGGACCTTCATCATGATCCCTCCTCTTGGGGATCGGCGGACTTTCCCAAGCCTCTCGAATAAAACCTCGATCCTCCGAGCCTCGACATCCTGCTCTGGGGCTCCCGAGGTCCCGGCCCCCTCCCCCCCGGGGTGGGTGCTTCGCCCCAGGTCCATGTTGGATGGCCCCGGGGCCCGGTGTTGGGCAGGGACCGGCCGTCCCGGCATTCCTGTAGGCCTACCACGAAACGTTGACAGAACCAAGAACGTTCGAATAGCAAAACAATGCTCTCAGAAGGTACAGCCAATAGTAAAGCAATGCTCTTAGAAGGTAACGAAGGTAAAACACTCTTCTAAGTACACGTCGTGCAGACCGCAAACAAGTTCTTAGAACATTCTTCGGTGAGCCTATAGGCAAACCAAGACGCTTCGCCGCTGCTCGACGATGGGCGAAACCATGGAAACATGCCGGCCGCGAGGAACCAAAAGATCCCTTCGGAGCCGGTGCATCCCCCTGAGCCCCTCCCCTCCCCCCCTAACGTTGCCCCTGACCCCTCCCCACCCCCCGCCTTCAGCTGCACCTCGCGCATGATCTCCAGACCCGCCGTGAGCCTCTCCACGTCGCTCTTGACGCCCTGCAGATCCGGGCCCGCCGCCGGCGGGCGACCGCGGGAGAGCAGGGTGAAGAGTGAAGACGAGAGGATCGGGGTTCCTCCTCGCTCCTCCTCCTCCTCCTCCTCCTCCTCCTCCTCCTCCTCCTCGCTCCTCCTCCTCGCTCCTCCTCTCGCTCCTCCTCGATCCCCCGTTTCCTCCTTGTTTCCAGCTCCTCCTTCTCGCTCCTCCTCCTCCTCGATCCTCATCCTGGCTCGTCCTCCTCCTCTTCGCTCCCATTCTTCGCTCCTCCATTCTTTCCCTTGCGTATACATAACTCCTCCCTGTCGTACCCCGAGGCGCTTCGAAAGGGTGGGTCGGGCGTTTCGCCTTAGACTTCCTCACGCTTGATGATCCTGAAACTTGAAAAGTTGCAACTATTCACGGATTGAGAGCGCCTGCTTTCAAGATGTGGCTCTCGCCTTGACGCCGCGCGCGCATTCGTCTTAACAGTTTGCAAGAGCCCTACGGATGGAGGGCGGTTCCTTTTCAACATGTGGTCCTCGCCTTAGCGCCGCGCACAAGTTTGCAAGGGCTTCACGGATGGAGGACAGTTCCTTTTCAAACTTCGACTCTCGCGTTAGAGCAGCGCACATTCGTCTTCAGAGTTTGCAGCAGTTTCAAAGGACTCTCATTGCCAACGTCCCAAGAATGGCGTTTAGGGCACGATGTCAGAATGTCATGGCGCAACAGTCACGTTGATTCGCGGTGTTGAAGTCCGAGGAATTGTTTTGGCACTGTTCAGGATCGTCAAGACTCAGCAGTAGCGGTGATTCGCGGCGTTGAAATCCCAGGAGCGGCGTTGTGGCGCAGTTCCGGGTTTTCAAAAGGTTGTCTTCAACAGGGCACTTCCTCCAGTGAAAATGAATCCGTGTAGGAGCCTATGAAAAGGCAACTTGGAGGGAGGGTTTATTTCAGTATGGTTGGTGAGTCTTGGCTTGACACTGGTCCTGTTCCTCTTCCTCATCCTCCTGTCTAACCCTGAGATCCTGGCATTGCATTTTTCACGACGGGCGATTTTACCTTCTTTCGGGCTCCAAGACCATCACAGATCGATCCAGCCCGAAAAATGCTGCACAAATATTGGGTCCAGGGCTCTTCCTCCGCGCTCCTCCTCTAGGAACAGAACTGAAGGGGCCCCAGGACACACAAGTAAATACACACAAATAAAAATACTCCCTGAATTTTCCATATATTTTCTATGTTTCTGTCTTCCCCCCCCCACTTCCCATGTGTTCCCATATGTTCTGGGGAATCGAGGATTCATTGTGTCTGTGTGTTTTCCCCTCCTGAAGAACAACGGCACAATCTGATGTTCTTCGAGATCCGCGCGGACTTCCCGGACCAGCGCTGGACCCCCCTCTCCCTGGCGCGGGGAGCACCGGAGGGGCGGCGCTGGAGGCGCTGCCAGGTGGGCACGACAGAGAAATCCGCGGGGATCTCCGACAGAGCACGCTTATGCAGTGTTGTCTTATGTAATCGCTTCGCTCATTCCGCCGGCCCACATTGCCTGTCGTTTGTCGGGGTGTTTTTGTCAATGCGGTGCGGTTGGGCGGCTGCCATTTTTTCGGAAACGGTGGGTGGCGGGTCAGAGGCCTCACGATGTTGGTTGGGCTCTCGTGGTTGGCCTCTCAGGGGCTTTTGGGAGGCAATTTTGTTTTGAGGCCTCTCGGGGGCCGTGTTGGGGCCTCTCGGGGGCTTCTTGGGGCTTCTTAGGGTGCCTCTTGGGGGCCCCTCAGGGCCTCTTGGAGGCCTCTTGGGGCCTCCTGGGGGCCATTTGGGGCTAAAGGCTGGACTTTTCGGTTCCTGGTCCCCTTCTTGGGCCCCTCTTGGGGCCGTTTTGGGGCTCTCTTGGGCCGTCTTGGGCGCCTCTTGGGCTGTCTTGGGGCCATCTTGGGCCGTCTCGGGGCCCTCTTGGGCCGTCTTGGAGCCCTCTTGGGCCCTCTTGGGCGCATCTTGGGGGTATGTTGGGCCATCTTGGGGCGATCTTGGGGGGCTCTTGGGCAATCTTGGACGCTGTGAACCTCCGAACGTCGTTTATGCCAGAAATGCACGTTTCCCTCAGGAAATGAAGCGATGTTTGCTTGTTGGTGCCCTCTGGGAGAGCCTCCTGAGGCTCTCTTGGAGCTTCTCGGCGGCGTCTAGGGCTATCTGGAGATCATTTTGGCGTCTTGGAACAATCTTTCGGCGACTCGGGGCCCCTTGGACCGTCTCGGGGGCGTCTCGGAGCCTCCTTGGCGCGTTCCTGGAGCGCTTTGGGAGGCCTGGAAGGCAGCGCCGAGGAGGAAAACCATCTCTGAGCCGACCTTGCCAGGACCTGCTCGGGGTACTGTTCGTCAGGGAGATCCCAGAAGCCGCCCCGCGTGCGCGAACTAGAATATTGTTGACCAAATACCGGAGATCTTAGCACGCCTCTGGCCCGGTGGGCCAGCGAATTTGTGCAGCTTTGTTATCCAGTCCTCTTCGCTCCTCGTTCCTCCTGCCCCTGCCTTAGCCGAAGGCCAACGACTTCGGGCGGACAGCTTTTTATTTTCGGCACGGAAAAGAGGATGGCGCATGGATCAGGGGGTCTCCAAAATGGAATTCGAGTAGATAAGGTCGGATGATTGCGCCGCGTCATCAATGCATCGGCGATCCATGGCGATGCATCGGCGACGTTGGCGATGCATCGGCGCCGTCGGCGTGGAGAAAATCGGGCTCCATATCGAGCGGAATCACTTTTGCATCGGCGATGCGGCGCTCTGGGTCCGATTACGGGGCCCACGAGGTCATCTGAAATGAACCTAGAACGAATAACTGCCTGCGGGGCGTTTGGGTGAGCCTTAGTGGGAACCTCTGTGGCCTCCGCAGCACAATCATAACAATGATTGCGACAGGATCTCGTCCAGATTCCGACCACCCTTCTTCACCCCCTCGCCCAGACTTCGCCCACGTTTCACCCGCATGTCGCCCAGATGCCGTCCAGACGTCGACCAGCTCTGACAAACTCCAGGCGACATCCTCGGCGGTGGACAAACCTCCCTTGAGTAAACCTCCCCTTAGTGAAAACGGCCTGGGACCGAAACCGACGGACCTGGACCGCGACGCCCTCTCGCAGAGCGAAAACGGCCAAGTCCTTAATCGACGTGTCAGGGTAGGAGATCTGTCCACCTACGAGACCAGCTCTGACAAACTCCGGGCGACATCCCCCCAGAGCTGCGTGCACATCTGGGGCCCTCTGAGGCCCTCACGCAGGGGCCACACCACAGGAGCGGGCACGGACCCCGGAGCAACGCGGATGAAGCGACGGAGGAGGAGGAGGAGGAGGAGGATGTGGAGGGGGGGGGGGGGGGGGGGGGAAGAGGGGAGGGGGGAGGAGAAGGAGGAGGAGGAGGAGGGAGGAGGATGAGGATGAGCGGGGAGGAGGAGGAGGAGGAGGAGGATGAGGAGACAAAGAGGAGGACGAGGATGAGGAGGAGGAGGATGAGGAGGAAGGAGGATGAGTAGGAGGAGGAGGAGAGGGAGGGAGGAGGGAGAGGAGAGGAGGAATGAGGAGGAGGAGGAGGAGGAGGACAAGGAAGGCAGGCAGAGGAGGAGGGAGGAGGAGGAGGAGGAGGAGGAGGATGAGGAGAGGAGAGGAGGAGGAGGAATTGAGGAGGATGAGGAGGAGGAGGGAGGAGGATGGAGGAGGAGGGGAAATGAGGAGGAGGAGGAGGAGGAGGAGAACGAGGAGGAGGAGGAGGAGAACGAGGAGGAGGAGGAGGAGGAGGAGGAGGAGGACAAGGAGGAGGAGGAGGAGGAGGAGGGAGGAGGAGGAGGTCTGGGATCGGGGCACGCCGAGGGGATCGAGCGGCGGAGGCTTCCGCCCGTCCCTGGTACCTCGCGGGGCGCAGGGGAGCCCAGACCTCCGACGTGTTCCTGTTAGACAGAATCAGCGGGCCCCATCTGCGATGCATCGGCGATGCGGCACGATCCTCCGACCCCATCTGCTCGGACCCTATCTAGGCGGCCTAGAGCGAGGGGCGGCGGAGGGGCAGAGGCGCTGCTGCCATGTCGCCACGCAGGCGCCACGTCACGCGCGGGGCTCCCGCCGAGGCAGCCGTGCCGCGGCACCCCCGGCGCACTCGGCGCGCGCGCGCCCGACGCGGCTGCACCGCTGGGGGGCTCGACGACGTCCGCACGCCCTCGGCTCGCGTGGGGTCTTCCGGGATATGTCCAGGCTTGTCCAGGCGAGTCTCGGGGCTTGCTCCTCGCATGATCGAGGGGTGGGCCCAGACACGTCTGGCGAAAGCACAGGTTGATGCATCTGGGCGCAACAGCACCAAACCCCGTCGGACTGCATCGACACATCCTCCGGGTCACTTCACTTCGCGCGTCGCGCCCCGGGATGCGCGACGCGCGGTTCTCGTCGCGCCCTCGCGAAGCCACGCAGGAGAAGGGCGCCCCTCCAACTCAAGCCGCGATGCGCGAAGCGCGATAATCTTCGCGCCCCTGGGGGTAATCCCGATGGCCCTGTTTTTCACCACCACCACCACCATAAGTTGGAGGGGGAGGGGGTCCTCCTCCGCCTCCTCCTCCTCCTCCTCCTCCTCCTCTCCTCCTCCTCCTCCCCTCTCCTCCTCTCCTTCCTCCATCCTCCTCCTCCTCCTCCTCCTCCTCCTCCAAAGACAAAACAAAAAAACAAAATCCTCCCCCTCCTCCTCCTCCTCCTTCTCCTCCTCCTCCTCCTCCTTTTCCTCCTCCTCCTCGTCCTCCACTTCCTTCCCCCCTCCAACTTATGGTGGTGGTGGTGGTGGTGGTGGTGAAAAACAGGCCCATCATCACCACCACCACTAGACGAGCGCGTTCCACTACTCGCAAAGTGACTACTCGCAAATGGCCTAGATCTGCCAGGAAGGATCTACGAGAAATTACAGTGAAGCAGACATGTGTTTTCCGGACGTTTGCGAGTAGGCACTCTGCGAGTAGTGGAACGCGCTCGGTGAACCACAGGCGGGAGGCGACG